CTTTGCGCTTGCAAGGCAGGCGGCAGAACCACTGAGCCAAATCCCGGCCCACCATTTGTTCATTCTTGGTGTTATTTCTTGTCCTGTTGGAATTCTGTTCAGAAAGTCTTTGCCTATGTGTATGTCTTTACGAGCTTTACCAAATAATTGATCTGGATTCAGTCTTTTCCGTGAGGATGACCAGTTTTCCCAGCACCATTTTTTTGAAGCAAAACATTTATTGGTACATTTTAGATGTATGTAATGATCACATTAATCATCGAAAATTTGTACCAGTACATGATACATCTTGCTTCTTCTTTTTTTCCATTTCCCTCCCCTCCCTTCCACCTCTGTCCCCCTCCTTATTTTTGTTTGTTTGCTTGTTTGGTTTGGTTTTTTGAGACAGGGCCTCACTGTACAGTTGAGACTGACCTGGAACTCACTATGTAGCCCAGGCTGGTCTCAAACTCACAGTGATCCTCCTGCCTCAGCCTCCTGAGTGCTGGGATTACAGGAATGTGCCACCACGCCCAGCATCCCCCTCCTTCTTTACAAAAGCTTTGTTTCCATTTTTTTCTCCTATTCTCTTTTCTTTCCTGTTCCCCTTCCTCGCTTCTTCGTTCCCCTTCCATTTGAGCATTTTCTTCCCATTTCCCAATATCTATCATACATTTGGTCCTTATTTCCATCTTCAGTTTCTCACTCCAGAGAAACAATGAGTATTCAAACATGTGTGTCTGATTTCTCTCACATAAGAGTATGGTCTCAAGGTGCACTCATTTATCTAGAAATGTCTCAGGCTTATCCTTCTTTGTGGCAGAGTAGTACTCTGTTGCATAAAAGAACCACATCTCCTTGATCCCTTCATCAGTTGATGGGCATTTGGGCTGTTTCCAATATTTAGCTATTACACACTGTGCCGCTTTAAACCTGGGTGTGTGTATATCACTGTGTTATGATGCTTTTAATTCTTTCAGGAATATACCAAGAAGGGAGTACCAAGCACCACTTGTTAGACACGGACATCTTTACTCTAATGTCTGCTTTTGGCCCCTTTATTGAAGACCAGATGGCTGAAGGCACATGGGGTTGTTTCTTTGTCCTCAGTTCTCTTCCATTGTTCACCGCATTCATTTTTATGCTGTTTTTATTACTGTTGCTTTGAATTTTAACTTGAAATCCAGGATCATGGTGCTGTCAGCTTTGTTCTTCTTGCTCAGGATTGCTTTTGCTAATCTAGGTTTCTTCCCATTCCATAAAAATTTGAGAGTTTTTCCTAGATCTGTGAAGAATGCTATTGGTATTTTGCTCGGGATTGCATTTAATCTGTATATCATTGTTGGTAATATGACCATTTGGACAATATTGGTTCTGCCTACCCAGAGCCATCCTTTTTTTCAGTACTGGGGATCAAACTGAGGACCTTGTGCTTGTGAGGCAGATGTAGTACCTCTGAGGTAAATCCCCAGATCCCCATTTTCTGTTGCCCTCTTCAGTCTTGTTTTTCAGAAGCCTATAGAGGTTTTCATTTTCTTGGTTAGAATAATTCTGAACTAACTTTTTCCTACTCTTTTTTTTTTTTTTTTTTTTTTTTTTTTTTTTTGGTAGTGGGGGATTGAACTCAGAACCTTGCACTCTCAAGGCAGGTTGGCGGCACCACTGAGCTAAATCCCCAGCCTTCAAACTAACTTTTTGAAGCTATTGTGAATGGGACTGGTTTCCTAATTTCTTTCTCAGTGGGTTTATTGTTGGTGTACAGGAATGCTACAGATTTTTTATTCCTTTTTATAGCCTGCTCCTTTGCTGAATTTGGTAATTAGCTCTAGGAGTCATGTCGTCTGCAAATAAAGACAGTTTGACTTCTTTTCCTGTGTGTTCCTTTTATTTCTTTGCTTGCTTAATCGTTCTGGCTAAACTTTCAAATACTGGGTTGAGCGGGAGTGGTAATAGTGGACATCTTGTCTTGTTCTTGATTACAGAGGAAACACTTTTAGTTTTTCCCTACTTAGGATGATGTTAGCAGTAGTTATGTCATAAATAGCTTTTATCAGAGTGAGAGACGGCCCTTTTATACTTCTTTTCTTCAGGGTTTTATCATGAATGGGTGCTGGATTTTGTCACAGGGTTTTTCTGCATCTGTTCAGGTGATCCTGTGAATTTTGTCCTTGCTTCTGTTTGTGATGTATTATACTGCTGATTTTCACAGTACTAGGGAGTGAAACCAGGGCCTCTGCATTATTGTGCTATATCCCCAGTCCCCTTTTTATTTTTTATTTTGAAACAGAGTCTCCGTAAGTCACTCAGATGCACAGGCTGGATTTGAATTTCAATCTTCTTGCCTCAGCTCAAAGAGTGCTGGGATTATAGGTGTGTACCACGCCTGGCTATAATTTCTTCTTTTTTGTTTTTTTTTGTGGGTTTTTTGTTTTGTTTTGTTTTGTTTTTTGTTGTTTTTTTTTGAGACAGGGTCTCACTATGTAGTTGAAACTGACCAGGAACTCACTATGTAGCCCAGGCTGAACTCACAGTGATCCTCCTGCCTCAGCCTCCCAAATGCTGGCATTACAGGCATGCGCCACCACGCCCGCCTATAATTTCTTATAGTAATGGATAGGTAATAGATTCACATAGTTATACTTCAAAGAGTACACAAGGTAGACAATGAAGATTTTTCTCATGCCTCTTTGTTCTCTTCCAGGGCAGCTATGGTGAATCAATTTCTTAATCTATGCAGAACTGTTTTTCCAAAACTATTCTACACATATGCTAGCAGTATTGCTCTTTACAACGCTAACACAAAAATCAGCATACTGTACTATTTTATACCTTGCTTTTTATGCATAACAGTGTATATCTGAGAGAAGTTTCCCTAGCAGTTCACCAAAAAAATTTAACCCTTGCTAGCATGGCAGTCTACTGAATGTACTGTAATTTATTTGACCAGCCTCTGTTGATAGATATTTATGTTGTTTCCAGTATTTTGTTGACTACAAACCATGTCACAGTGTACCATATACTTTGTACAATATAATCTGTACCCAGCATAAGCATGTGTGTGAGGAAGGGATTCCTCCAGGCGGAACTGCTGAATCAAAGGGCAGGTGCTTTGTCATTTTAATACCTCTAGGTGCTCCATGGAGTTGGACCAGTTTATACACCCACCAGTGCTGTGTGAAAGTGACTTTGCTTCTGCTTTTCACCAACACAGGAAATTATCAAATTGGGGAGGATGCCTTAAACAACAGAAATTGATTTTCTCATAGTTCTGGAGGCAAGTTATCAATTTTTTTCCCCAGTACTGGGGATTGAACTCAGGGCCTTTCTACCACTGAACTACAACCCCAACCCTTTTGATTTTTAAATTTTGAAACAAGGTCTTGCTAGCTTGTCTAGGCTGCCTTCAAACTTGCAACTCTCCTGCCTCAAGCTCACCTGAAATTCTTTTTTTTTGGTACCAGGGATCGAACTCAGGACCTTGCACTTGCAAGGCAGGTGCGGGGCCACTGAGCTAAGTCCCCGGCCCTGTGGAAAAAAGATATTAGGGATGCCGTAGAAGTTCATGGGCTGGGAATTTAGCTCATTGGTGAAGCATCGGCCTCACAAGCACAAGGTCCTGAGTTTGATCCCCGGTGCGACACACACACACACACACACACACACACACACACACACACACAAAGTAGTTCATGTGCCTAACACACAAAAGGCTGTGGTATTATTGGGTAGCCCCTTCTAAAAGAGGCTCACCAAATAAACATTTTCGGTTCTAGGTTGCTGTCCTCTCCTGGGGATACTTTCCATCGTTTGTTTTGTTTTGTTTTTGGTACAGGGGATCAAACTCAGGACTTGCGCTTGTGAGGCAGGCGGTTCCCATCTTGAACAAAGAATTGAATGAAATGAGCAAAAAGCAGTGACAAAATTTATTTGAAAAAGTAAAAGTCGAGAGTGAGGGGAAAACTGGCTCTGCAGAGCGAGCTTGGGCAGAGTAAAATTGGAAAGAGCAAGATAAAAGGACACCCTGGTGGAAGCACGCTGTCAGGAGGAAAGCCAGGACAGCAAGCTCTTGGCGTCTGCGCCTTTATTTGTTGTCCAAATCTCGAGGAAACCCACGAGAGCATCTATATCCGGGTCCTGAGAGGCGGTGCTGGGATCCCGCCTCAGGCTGATGTCAGGTCTAGGCCTCCTATTGAAAACCCACGGGAGTTCTCTTGAGAGGTCCATAGGCAGGGCTTTGGGAGCTGCTCTGAGCACGAGCTCAGGATCTTGTCGGGATCACGCCTACTTTCAGCCAGTTTTGGCACACCCTAATGGCGTATCTCACTGGGTTCAGTTAATCACCAGCAGAAGAAAGGGGAGCTCCTGTCTCGCAAGTGCAATGTCCTGAGTTCATCCCTGGTACCAAAAAAAAAAAAAAAAAAAAAAAAATGCGGGGGTGGGGAGACCAGAAACTGAGTCCTCACAGAGCCAACATAGGGCTATTGTCCCTCTTAGCTCTGTGTCTCCCAGTACATATGTCTTGGATTGTCAGAAAGTCCCATCTGGGCTGGATGTGTTGGCAGGAACCTGTAATCCCAGCACTAGAGAGGCCGAGGCAGGAGGATTCCTGTGAGTTCAAGACCAGTCTGAACTACTTAGCGAGACCCTTTCTCAAGAAAAATAAAATTAAAATATGGGCTGGGGATTTAGCTCAGCGGTTCGGTGGCCTTCCTTGCATGCGCAAGGACCCGAGTTTAATCCCCGGTACCAAAAAATAAAATAAAATATGAAAAGGACGTGGCTTGGGCCATGGACTTAGCTCAGTGGCCATGACTACCTCACAACCACAGGGTCCTGAGTTCGATCCCTGGTACCGCCAAAAAAAAAAAAGAGAAACCCGCAGGACTCATCTGTAACGTCAGATGGTACCGCACTGGGGGCTGTCTCCACCCTTAATACTCAAGTATCCATCTGGACCCACGGTCTCCATCTCACAGTTCACCCTCTTTGTATTGATTACTCTTCTTTTTCTTCCCTCACAGCAGTCATTGTCCAAACCTGCTTTTTTCTGGCAAAATTCAGAGAGGAGGAACTTCAGACTGCTGGACGTGAGGAAGCTGAGTCGGGATGGAGCAGGGTCCCCTCCCAAAATCAGCCCACCCTCCACTCCCAGTAGCCCTGACGATACTGTCTTTAACCTTGGAGACCTGCAGAATGGGAGGAAGAAGAAAAAGATCCCCAAGGTAACGTTCCCAGTGAACTTCCAGTTCCACCACGCTCCTCTTCTCTGCAGAGAAGACTGGGACACCTGGGCCTCCATCCTGATCATTTTACCAGAATTATTTTATTTTCCCTGTATGGGGGATCAAACTCAGGACCTTGCACTGAGCTTAATCCCCGGCTCCCTTGATCATTATTTTAGTCCCATGGCCTTCCTTTTAGAGCCATTCCTCTCCCTGCCTCAGCTACTCTTCTGATCGAACTCGGATCCTTGTGCTTGCAAGGCAGGTGGCGGAACCACTGAGCTAAATCCCCAGCCCTCTTTTCTTTTCTTGAGACAGGGTTTCAACATGTAGTTCAGGCTGTCCTTGAACACACTATATAGCCCAGGCTGGCCTCTAACTCCCAGCAATCTTCCTGCTTCAGCCTCCCAAGAATGCATGACCACGCCTCGCTCCAGATAGTGCTCCCAGTGCCCACTCTCAAAAAGCCATCTCCTTCTTGTCTTCAAAAAGTAGCCCACCTCTCCCCTGGCCTGCTCTTTCAGGGGCTGGCACCAGAGTGTGCTCAGAGGCAGCCCTTGTCAGAGGACTTCTGGCACTCTGCTGTCCCCAGGGTGAAAGGTGGCCCAGCTGGGCGTGGTGGCACACATCTATAATCCCAGCACTTGGGAGGCTGAGGCAGAAGGATCACTGTGAGTTCGAGACCAGCCTGGGCTACATAGTGAGATGAGGTCAGTCTCAATGACATAGTAAGACCGTATCTCAAAAGAAAAAAAAAAAAAGAAAAGAAAAGAAAGGTGGCCCATGGCCTGGATTTGCATCCTGCGTGTCAGCAGATCACACTTCCTCGGTGTCAGCCCCATGGGGCTGGCTCCTCATTGGCCATCCAGTCCCATACAAGGCCTTTCCTCTCCCTCTCGGGGTCTCCCCTACAGGGGGCTGAGGGCAAAGCTAATGAGAGAGGGTCACAGGAGAAACATGCATGCCTTCTACCAGTGTATATGTGGAGAAATGAGACCCAGAAAAGCGCTAGACCTGAGCACTGGCATACCAAGCTGGAAAAGCATGGCGGTTATAAAAAAGGAACTAGAAGACAAGGACTGGTTTACCTAGGTTGGTACAGATTTCTCTCGGCTTCAACTCTATGTCCAGGGATAAGAATGTGCCTAGCGTGTGGAGGCGCACGCCTGTAATCCCAGAACTCAGGAGGCTGAGCCAGAGGATCACCCAGAGTTCGAGGCCAGCCTGGGTTTCAGGAGCCTTGCTGCACACAGAATCATATAAAATGTTATACAGATAAGCTTAGAGAACTGCGGGGGTGTGATACTATCTATCCCCACGAACTTGAAAGAAAGTCAAGGACAGCTCCATAAGCAGGTTGCTCCCGACAGAGGTTGATCAGTCAATTTTGAGCCAAGATTTTACAGAGCAGCCCTGCCCCAGCACCTTGTTAAAGTGAGCTCAGATCACCTTGGCCATGTGTGGGCAGGGAGGGGCAGGGCAGTCGTGCCAAGCTTTAAGACCTGCAGCCCTGGGGCTACGTGTGGAATGGGGCAAAGGCCCTGCTGTTCTGTGGCTAGAAGGCAGAGAGAGGGGCTGGTAGGAGCCCGGCCTTGGCCCCTCCTCTTCTCTGACTAGTTCTGTCTGATTCTGGGCTGGAACCCAGGCCTTGCACACTCTATGCAACCTCTGTACCCCTGAGCTCCACCAAAGACTGCAGAGTACATATTGATTTTGTGTGAATTGCTATAATCCCATTACTCAGCAGGCAGAGGCAGAAGGATTGCAAATTTGAGCACACCCTGGGCAACTGAGTGTAACTTAGCAAGACCTGGATTCAAAGTAAAAAGGGGGCCAGTTGTGGTGGTACACATCTATAAACGCAGCCCTTGGGAAGCTGAGGCAGGAGGATTGCTGTGAGTTCAAGGTGGCCCTATATAGTTGTCAGACTCAAGGCCAAGCCTGAACTACATAGTGAGACCCTGTCTCAAAAAACAAAACAAAATTGGGCCAGGGATTTAACTCAGTGGTGCCACACCTGCCTCTTAAGTGGGAGGTCCTGAGTTTGATACCAGGTATCAAAAAACAAAATAAAACAGCAACAAAAATAATGCTAAGTATTAAAATATTAATAGAACATGGAAACTGATTACCATCCTTCGGAAGGGAGCAGTATTGGGGATGGAACACAAAGCCTTTCATATGCCGAGCATGCATGCTACCACTAAGCAACTTCCCCAGCCTCCATCCTGTATTTTTGTTCACTAGTTTATACAGATACAAAGCATTAAGTGGGACACCGCTGCATATCCCTGTAGTCCCAGTTACTCAGGAGGCTTAGGCAAGCATATTTCTTGCACTTCAGAGTTCAGAACCAGCCTGGGCCACACAGTGACATCCCATCTCTAAGAATAAGTTATACCACAGTAAGCACATAGCTGTCCAGCTCTCTGTACATGAAATAATAACTCTGAAGGCCTCATCTGTGGAGCTCCTGTCTGTGGGTTTCTGAACTGCACATCCCGGGAACGTGAACTGACAGCAAACTTGCAGCCTCTGACAGAGCAAAATGAAGAAGCCTGTGATCTTTAGCTTTCCGGGAGAGAAGGGAAAGTAAGCACCCCAGGGATGCCAGGCTGTTGCCAGTCTGCAGTAAGAACAGCACTTACCTTTTCTGCAAGACTACATCCCCATCAGCCACCGGCACTCCAGCAGCAGCTTGTCTGGCCGGTGGGGCAGAGCACACAGCCCTGGCAGGGTAAGGGTGGTGGCTGTCTGGACTGGGTGGAGTATGTCACATAACAGAGGATCCCAGTACACTTTTTTGTTGTTGGTTTTTTGAGACAGGGTCTCACTATGTAGCTCAGGCTGGCCTTGAACTCATGGCAGTCTTCTTGCCTCAGCCTCCCAAGCGCTGGAATTACAGGTGTGTGCCACCATGCCCTGCCTTCCCTGTGCACTCTGGCCGTTCTGGGAGCACATGGAAGTTCTGTGAGGCTGGGTGTGAACCGTCCCCGTAGACAGGGTGCTCCAAGGCCCAAGTACTCTTATGGCCGGCACAGGGACCGGAAATCACTCTGACCCTGTCCCTCTCAGGGCTGCTCACGCATTTTGGACTGGTTCCCACTGCCGAGGCCCAGCCTGGGAACTATGTTTTCCTGTCTCTTCCTTTTCTTGGATTGGGAGCAAAAGGCCCTTCCCAAGCCATCGTGACGTCACAGCATCAGAGGGACAGCTGCTGTCACACCAGGAGTGCACGTCTCACCTGACCACATTGGACTTTGGGGGGTAGGGGGTGGCACCCTGCAATTTCCATGGCTCTGTTGTTCCTGTGGGGCCAAAAGGGATGGATAATGGTTAGAAGAGTGGGAGGCAGCACCAAGTGTGCCCCCTCCATAACCCCAGGGAGTGTCTGCTGGCACCCCAGAGGGTCACTCACACCGGCCGTCCTCCCCTGTGTCTGCAGCTGGTCTTGCACATCAACGCCATCTATGAGGCCCGGAGAGGGAAGAAGCGGGTGAAGAGGCTGTCGCAGTCCACGGAGAGTGGCTCAGGGAAAGGTAGGACCGCCACCCTCCTCCCGCCCCTGAGCGCCAGAAACACTTCCTAGAAGCTACTTCCGGCTGGCTCAGTGGGTTACCAGGAGGGAACCAAGATAGTGCTGCTGTCCCTGGGAATGCGCAAGGAGCCAGGAGCTAAACCATGGTGGCACATGCGTGGGTCTCTCTGTCTTGGAAGACTGTGGCAGCCACTTCCCTGGCTCAGCACAAATAAAGTGGCAGGATCTGATCCAGGTGCCGCCTAACTAGAGCCAAAGTAGTCTGGAAATCCATTGTGCTAGACAAGAACAGAGCTTTTCTGTTACTTTGATCAGATGGTAAAACATCCCCTCTGAACTAGAAATTTTGGATTCATTTCCTGCATTAGAACTCATATTTGCTTGTCCTGCCTTGTGTTTTCATCTAGTGACAGATGAGAACAGCGAATCTGACAGTGACACTGAGGAAAAGCTAAAAGGTAAGGACAGAGGTACCACTGTCATGAGCCTTGCTCTCTAGCACAACGGACGCATGTGTCTTGCCAGGCTTGCTGGGGGTCAGGGGGCCTTGGGTATCTGAGAGGACATTGGGCCCAGCCTAGTGCAGGACCTTGGGGTGCTGAACTTGTGGCAGTCCTCCCGCCTCAGCCTCCCAGAGTGCTGCGGTCACAGGTGTGGGCCACGACATGTAGAAACTCTGTTAAGATGTCAGGGCCCCTGGGGCTTCCTCTGTTGGATAAAGTTGTTGAAATTGTTGGTTCCCCAGGGCCTAACCCTCAGGACCCAGGTCCAAGCTTTCATGAATTTTCTGAAATTTCTCAAACCCCAGGGAGAAGGCAGAAAGAGCAAGCTTGGGGCTGCTGAGCAGGGTGACAGGGACCTGGGCCACCCCAGGTGAAGCAAGGTGGAGGCTCCCAGGTCCATCGGGCTTGGCCATTGAGTCTCACAGATGTTTACAAAACTCCCACCTCCGAAATCCCGGTGCTCTGGATTTTGTCGTGTCCTGGGAACAGAAAGAGAGGAATGAGCGTCCCCACCCCAAGGACAGCTGGGGCGAGTCCCCAGCCTGCTTGTCTGCCATGCTGCCCGGGCTCCTCCCGAGGTTTGGCAAGGGTCCTGGAGATTAGTTAGGTGTGGCACAAGCGCTATGGCTCCCTGGCAGGGAGCAGTGTCTGGCAAGAGCTCCCTCCCACCCTCCCTCTCTGTCCCCAGCTCACAGCCGGCGCCTGGTCAATGTGCAGTCCCGCCTGAAGCAGGCCCCTCGCTACCCAGCCCTTGACCACGAGCTCCTTGAGTACCAGGAGAGGCAGCTCTTTGAGTACTTCGTGGTCGTGTCTCTGCACAAGAAGCAGGCTGGGGCCGCCTACGTGCCAGAAGTCACGCAGCAGTTCCCTCTGAAGGTACCAGGCCAGCCGCGGCCACCAGGGCACGGCAGCTCTGTCGTTGTCTGGGCAGGGTATGGACTTGAGGAGGTCGGGGAGCCTGAGGAAGACCTGGGTCTGGGATCTTGGAAATGGCCCTCACTTTGGTCTGTCATATGAACAGATCTAGCAGGGCCTGGTGCATGCCTGTGACCCCAGCTACTCAGGAGGCTGAGGCAGGGGATTATGAGTTCAAGGCCAGCCTGAGCTACATAGTGAGACCTACTCTCACACATTTATCTTGTATTTACTTGTTTGTTTATTTATTTATTTTTGGTACTGGGGATCAAACTCGGGTCCTTCTACTTGCAAGGCAGGTGGCGGAAACTCTGAGCTAATCCCTGGCCTTCACACATTTCTCTTTATGACAGTTCATGGAGGTGTTGCATGTATGTGCATGTGTGAGCAGACAGGCTGACACTCACCTGTTGGTGCCGTGTGTCTGTAGCTGTGTCTTATGCACAGCCATGGGGAAACTGCTTGACCTTGCTTCTCTCTCAGGGCGACTTCAGTTCTTGAACGTGTCTCCCCTATGGGAAGGTGTCATTGTTCCTTCACTTATGTCCTTTATAATTTGGGGCCTTTGCGCTGGTAATTAATTATGTGCATCTAGTATTTGCCTCTTTCCAAAACACTCTAAGAGAACTCAGAAATTAGTGCTTTTGCTGAGCATGGTGATGCTCGCCTGTAATCCCAGCTCTCTGGGAGGCTGAGGCAGGATTGTGACTTTGACCCAGCCTGGGCAACTTAGGGACTTAGTGAGACCCAATCTCAAAATGAAAAATAAAAAGGGCAGAGGATGTAGCTCAGTGCAAAGGCCCTGCCCTAAATTCGATCCCTAGTAATGAAGGGGAAAAAAGCACTTTAGGAACACTCTGAGCTGGTGAATTGTCAACTCAAAGACCATCCTGGGCCATGGGCTCTTTGGTACCATGCATAGAAGAGAGACCATGATATAGAAAAGAGTAGTGACTATTTGTCACAGGGAAAAACTAAAAGACCATCGAGAAGTGGCAGGAGTCAGTGAATGGTTATTGAGTTTTGCTGGCTGGAAGCTATCTTGGCCACAGCATTAATCACCCTAAGGCTGGCGCTGAATTCCGTCTGCCTGAGGGAATTAGACTGGAGGTGGCTTTGAGGTTGAAGTCAATCATATCAGTCTGTGCTCTGTTCCTCTGATTGTCCTTTAAAAAAA